AATGTTTTGTATATGGTCAGATGTAAGAAAATAATCAATCCTACTGGCAATAGGTGTGGTCCCACATCTCCTCCAAGTAAAACGTCGAGTATCCATATTGCGGATACGCCATATATCTACCAAGTCATGTTTTTCTAGCAAATTTGAAAATGATTTAACCCAGGTATGGGGATTGCCTCCCTGACGGTCAATGTTAATATCGTAGGTAAAATTAAAATCGCCCCCAATGATAATCTGAGTGTCAGGATCATAATCTAAGTTGTCGATACACGACTGAATATGTTCCAGAAAAGAACAGTGTGACTTTTCGTCATTTGGGGCGTAAATATTAAGCAACAAGAAAGGGCTATTTTCAATTAACGTCTGTATAAGAACAAAACGACCATCAGGGTCGATGACAGTGTTTTTAACATCAAAGTCTATATCACGAATAACAGTAAGCACTCCCCTACTACTATTAGTACCATGTGAAAAGAAACCCTGACCTCTAAGTTGCGACGACCAACTATACTGATCTGTAGAGAGACTATGGGTCTCCTGGAGGAAAATAATATTCACTTGTTTTCTATTTAGCCAATTCCATACTTTGTGATGTAGTGTTTCGTTTGAATACCCTGGACGTGACGGGATGTGACATGAAATGATTCAATGTAATGAGATGAGATGTGTCGTTACGTGGTGTCTTGTGATACAACGTGTCGTTACCCTGCGCGTGAAGTGACGTGGCATGACGTGATGTAATGAGATGCGACGTGTAGTTATGTGGTGTCATGTGATACAACGTGTCGTTACCCTGCGCGTGACGTGACGTGACGTGGCATGACGTGATGTAATGAGATGCTACGTGTCGTTAGGTGGTGTCATGTGATACAACGTGTCGTTATCCTGCGCGTGACGTGACGTGGTATGATTCAATGTAATGAGATGAGACGTGCCGTTGCGTGGTGTCATGTGATACAACGTGTCGTTACCCTGCGCGTGACGTAACGTGACATGACATGATGCAATGTAATGAGATGTGACGTGTCGTTACGTGGTGTCATGTGATACAATGTATCGTCACCCTGCGCGTGACGTGACGTAACGTGACATGACATGATGCAATGTAATGAGATGCGACGTGTCGTTACGTGGCGTCATGTGATACAATGTGTCGTTATCCTGCGCGTGACGTGACGTGGCATGATTCAATGTAATGAGATGAGACGTGTCGTTGCGTGGTGTCATGTGATACAACGTGTCGTTACCCTGCGCGTGACGTAACGTGACATGACATGATGCAATGTAATGAGATGTGACGTGTCGTTACGTGGTGTCATGTGATACAACGTGTCGTCACCCTGCGCGTGATGTGACGTAACGTGACATGACATGATGCAATGTAATGAGATGCGACGTGTCGTTACGTGGCGTCATGTGATACAATGTGTCGTTATCCTGCGCGTGACGTGACGTGGCATGATTCAATGTAATGTGATGAGACGTGTCGTTGCGTGGTGTCACGTGATACAATGTGTCGTTACCCTGTGCGTGACGTAACGTGACATGACATGATGCAATATAATGAGATGAGACGTGTCGTTGCGTGGTGTCACGTGATAAAACGTGCTGTTATCCTGCGCGTGACGTGGCGTGACGTGACATGACATGATGCAATGTAATGAGATTAGGCGCGTCGTTACGTGGTGTCATGCGATACAACGTGTCGTTACCCTGCGCGTGACGTGACGTAGCATGATGTGATGTGACATGTGCCGTATCGTGAATGCGTGTTGTGTCGCGACGGAATAAGATGATGTAATGCTGTGATGTGTTGTGACGTACCGTCACCTTGCGTGGTGTGACGCCACATGATGTAACGTAACGGAACGTACGTGAGTGTGAGGCCATTTGGCATCATTTATTATTACTCTCCTACAACTGTAACTTTAACTTTTATTATGAAGTAGTATACGTGTTGTGTGTTACGTAATTCTAATAAATAATATGTTAACTAATACAGTATAGGCTGAGAAAAAAATCTCTGTTTCTTGTTTCCGCGCGCATCATTTTGAACTATGCGGACGTTTTTTTTCCTTCTAAAGCATTCCAAAATGCCTTTGTACTCGCACTTGTCTCCAATTCCCCCCATTTTAGCTCAGTATTCAAAAAAAAAAAAAAAAATCGCCTCGCCGCCTCCTTTTTAAATTTACATGAAACGAGAAACAGAGAATTTTTTTTCCAGGCCATACATTCCAACTGTGTTTATTTTGTATTTCAAGCAACTTCACCAGCTTTTTCAACCATATGTATGGAAACTGTTATACTTTTAATTCTGGTTCACTGGAGGAAACTCTGATGACAAGCAAGGCTGGTCCATTGTATGGTAAGTTGGCAACATGACTAATTGGCCGTGGTGAAACACATTTATACATCAAATAATTGAAACCGTTTTGGAATAACATCATAAAATTGCGTAGTCCTCGGGACAAATGGCGTTCGGCATGTAAATATATACTGTTAAGCAGCACAACGTAACAATTACTTAGTGTGACTACGCTAGTATTGTACATTACACAAAGTCCAATAATCAGAATGTTAACGATGTAGAGATACTTTATGCAAATATAGCTCCTACACCACTGTCTACGGAAGGCCGAGTGTTGCAATATTTAAAAACAACATTCATGTGCAAAAGAGTTCTGTAACCTTTTAAAACTGGTGAATATTAATTTCCTTGAAAATTGCTGTCCTTAGGCATGTCTTAAATGCCAAATTCACACCTGACTGGTTGTAATACTATTAAAAAATCCGGGTTTTAAAAAGTGGCAAAAAAAGCAATTTTTCTTTAACAGTGTGTTCTATAGGGATTTTCAAGAAATATTAGGACATTTTTCTCAAAAAGCGTAACTGTAACACACAAAATAATGCTATTTCATTGTACCATGGGACATTAGCTTCATGATTGTACATAATAAACCAATGAACATTAAAAACATGCGATTTATGACCAATTTTGTAAAAAATTATGAGTAGGTTTCTACCTTAATTCAAATGCTAAAATGAACCAAGTACGTGTTTGATTGTTTTTCCCTTCAATTTAGTAATCAGCGACGTTTCACATTCTGTGTTGTTCGAATCTTGGTGTTTTTCACTTTAGTTTGTTCGTAGTTTGAGCTGGCCAACATGGCTCTGTTTCTTTCATGTAGTTGACTAATGCCGTGTTAATCCGACATTTTAAAGGCCATGTCGCTGACTAGTTTTCTTTAATTTGCTCGTACGCCAACATTTACCATGCTCTTTAATGGTATGAGGCCTGTCCAATGTGATTCAGATTTGTGAGTGGGTCTGTTCAAAGTAGTTTTATGAAATTTATAGTGAATAAACAGACTTGTGTTCCGTTGTTCCAAATCTTTCTTCATTAATATGTTTTTCTCGGATGTTCTGTTTTATTTTTCAAGTCTCTTTCTTTAAAATGACATATATTCGTAAATTCTTCATTTACAAACGTTCATTTGTTTTCATAGAATCATGTGTAAAAGATATTGAATACAATTTTAAGAAATACGTGTCTTAGCATTAGGTTTAGATTGATATACTGAAAATCTATCTTTCCCTTTACCCTGGTGCGTTAAATTTAACTTATAATAAGTTCAAGTTGAAAGTTGTAATGAAACTGCATTCCTATATAGGAAGACACATCTTCACAGCATAAGAACAATAAAAACAGTGCCGAACAATAGATCTAAGGTAGGAATTGCCGCCGAGATCTCGTTCAGACAAGTTAGTAAAAGTCGCGTCCAGGTCAAACTCCATTAGATGAGCGCATTGAATTGTGGGGAAATCAATGTTTATCAACACAAATGTCGCAAATGCGCAGCGCGACGACTACCACCTTTTAATACAATACATGAACCAACTTACATGGGGTGTGGCTGTAGTATACAAAACAACTAAAATACTGTACACCCATGTTCACATTTTAAGATTTGTCCTGAAGAACATACATTAAAATATAAGAGATATAGAGATATCGACCCGACCGAGTTTTGACGATACCGGACGGACACATGTAAGACAATTGTGAATTACATGAGACAACAGACAGAGAATGCTTTATTCAAAAAACGTCATCAAACCCTTCTCGCTACCTTAATGAATCACCGAGTTAAAACATTGTAAATAGTATTATTACTATAATCCTAATAATTTATATATTTTCTATCAAGGTCTGAACCTCGAACTTTACATTGAAGAGAAAGAGTACATTTCCGATTTACAAGAAAGCTCCGGAGTTCGTATAGTTATCCATGATCAAAATGAGATGCCATTTCCGGAAGATGACGGTTTCATGGCCGCCCCTGGATTCCTGACGTCTGTCGGGTTACGAATGGTGAATATTTACGGGCGCTGAAAAACTGATATAATACTTAATGATAGCTATTATGCTGCTTGCTCAAATATATATATATTAGGATCTTCAAACGATTTTTGAGCTTCTTTTGATAATAAAATATAATACGATGATATTTTTTTATTCACGTTGTACACTGTGCAACCCTTCGACGTTTTGTGTAACCCCAGATTCTTATATGCGATGACTGCGCATGCTCTATGTTCCATTTCTCTACAATACAGATAAAGGTAACCAGACAGCCAGATCCATATAGTACTTGCAAAACAGACGCGGACGCAGACGCAACTACTAATATATTCAGCGAATTGTTTTCTACGGGTTACACAAGAAAGGTAAAGTCTACTGAAATATTTACATGTAAATGAAGCTTCATAATTGAAATTTGATGAGCACATGTCATTTCGAAAAACATGGGCCAATATGTGACGCTGTTTTAAAACTTATTATTTTATTCGATGAGAAGTAAAATAAGTGAAGAAAAACTTAATGTCCGAGTCGCGTCACCAGAAAAAAAACTGCTTAGACGTCAAGTGTTGTTTGCGGTTTCTACGCTAGCAGATATTTCAACATAGACCTTGTTGAATAGGTCTATTCACAGTCTATCCTTCTCAATGTCTGAGACTTAGACAAATGCGCATTGTATTTTCATAGGCGTGCGAGAAAAGCTGTTTCAGTTGGGCTGTCACAGAGCATTGCATGTGCACCGACATCATATATAAATACCACAGCTATGAAACGGTGTGTAATTCAACAGACCCAGATATAGGTAGGAAACAGATCGATTATTCATCAGATTATTCATATTGAGCCATCGAGTGAAAACTAAACGTAGCACGATGATGCACATGCGTAGTTTAATATTTTCGAGATGCGCCCTGTAGTCACGGCGCACTTCCAAGACGTAAATGTTCAATGTGTCGCTAGCTGTAGCTGTCCACCAATGAAAATTATGTTACCCGAAATGAGTTGTTATGGTAACATGTTGTCGATGTTAATAGTTCAAATATACGTCTTGTTCGTTTCAGTTGAATGTCAGGAAATGGTGTCATTATTAAACGACAATGGTGAGTTATCCTGCAACGTAACATGTGCACAGCCCTGCGAGTAAGTACCATGACGTCACCACCAATGTTTCTCAAATCAACTTCAATTTTAACATCGTGAAACAACGCGGTTCACTTAATGTTAATGTAGTTTCCCACTCATTGTGTATACTAATGCGTACTTGTGGGCGCAATACATTAGGTTATGATATTGTTCGCTTATTATTGAGTTTCTGTATTTTTCGTTATTTGCAGACAGAGACTATACGAAGCGACGGTATCGAATGTCGTTTGGCCAAATGAACAATACAAGGTAATTGAGTTGTTATTTCCTAGTGTGTACTTACGCGCTAACAGAGTTGTTTTAAATTAACAAAATATGGTTACATAGTACGACCAGGTTTTTTTTCACGAACTTTAGATTCTCAAGTTAGTATGCCTCAGCTTGATGCAATAACCAGAGTTGTGCATCTAGTCACTTCATTGTTATACGTTGGATTTTATGGTTGTTATCATCAATTTTTTCCCCAAATGACCCGGTTCACATAGCTATATGCGTTATTATAAGTGCAATTCGTCGTTATCGTTATTAATCAGAGCGCACTGACGGAAGAACTGTTCAAGTTCAGTGACGACGTGAAACAGAAATTAAACGACAACAACAATTTCATCAGGTAGGTGGATATCTAGACGCAAACTAGAATTTTTATTCACTAAGTACTTTCATTATACATTACTGGTGTAATCCTAAATGGGACACCTTCAAGTTATGGTTCATTTAATATGGCAGTTGAAGATGTCTCAAATAATTGAAGAGGTCATTTATGTTGTTTTCTGATACTGATAAATTAAATTTTACTAACATGTTGTATCAACTATAATGGGTATATACAGTGAAAAATGGAAAATAATTCTCAAAAAAATAACATCTAATCGAAGAAAATAACAACACACAATGTGTGATGTTCATTCTGTAAATTTGATTAAAATCGGCATGTTTGGTGTCGGAGGAACCCTCATCCACGAGTTGTGTCCGATGGTGACGGAATTGTGATCACCAATACACCAATGGATGCCGACAATTTACTATAATAAGTGATTTCACCGATTTGGTATGTAATTTGAATTTTCTCGATAACATTCGTTTGACACTTGCTTCTAATGGATGATTTTGAACAGTCACGTCAGATCTTCGGCAATGATATCATCTTCGTTTAATTTTTAAAAGATCCGCATCTTGATCTCAATAGAACACATGTGCATCGTTTAGGGATATTGTACATTGTTAACTTTATTAAATATTATCTTTAAAAATCTAATTCATAAATCCATAATAGTAAAGAATGGTTAAATCCTATTTTTATTCATGAATAGAATTTTCAGCGATATTTATTTGACTAGAAAGCTTTTAAACTAAGCAAAATCTACACAATGAATGAATGCAAAAGACCCCAGTTATAGATGCACAGGTACTATAGACAAATTGAATACGATAATATTTCTATTACCAATCACAAATCTAGCGGATTCTTCAATGTTTTGTTTTCTTTTTTTTTAGCGAGAACATGGTCAAAATTGACATTTATTATAACGAATTAAATTATGAGTATATACAAGAGCAAATTGCATATGATGTAAGTAACGTATTTTCTTGGCAGAATTATTGCATATTACAGACAAATAGAATAGTGTTTTTAAAGAATGTCGTTATTGGTTGAACATATTATGCGTGTTATCCATAGTACAAGCCAGAACCAATAGATAGGCACACCGCATAACCACTGGCACTCAGCTATAATATATCACGTGACGTGACGTGACGTGACGTGACGTGACGTGACTGAATGTAAAACAGTTATTCGGTAAATGAAAAACACGTTCAGTACACATTGTGAGATACTGTAATTATTAAAAAAACGTTTGCCATTATTTTAAATAGAGTGGGGGTAGGATGGTGTGGGATTTGGTACATGCGA